GCTGAAACTCAAACCACGTAATTCTCAGTGGAGAATGCTGCTTTAAATGATGCTACGACAAAGCAGTAGGAGCCGAGACTTAAGTCATGCATATCTCCAAACAACTGGCAATAAAAACTTGAGTTCACTTCATAGTATTAGTTCAGTATGTTTAAATTTCATTATTTATTTTTATATGAATAGTTTTATCTTTCTCCCTCTTGAAAAATATTAGGTACCTTAGCAATAAAAAGGCCATTAGTAAATGTATAACTCAGCTTCATTCTGAAGTACAATATAAAACACATACATTTAGATAACAATACATACATTTATATCAGACTCTGTCATATAAGTCTAAAATAAGATCATTTTTGTGATGGTATGTATGCTGTAAAGAAGCAGCAAACCTCAGAAATATAGTTATAATCACAACTAAAGAAGATTAAAATTTATTTCAGTAAATAGACTTAAAACAATAAAAACAGTTATGTTCTACAGGCAAAAGTAGGTAAAGCATTTGAAGAACAATCAAAATTGGAGAAGATGATGCTGTTAAAGTTCTGTAAAATAATTTATTTCCTGTGAAAGGAAAGAAAATTGAGTGTTGGTAACGTTCAGAATTTTCAGTTACATTGCTTCTTGGGAAATAAAAACAAAACAAGGGCGTGATGAAACTCTTCTGAAATAATTCAGACAATGGGAGTTAGAACACCAGAACTCCCCTGTAAATGACTCAAGAGCACTTGTGAAACTCAACTTTTCTTTTTTTTGTTATCAGAAACACAACCCATGTTAATCCTACAAAGGCAAGAAACATCTGCAGCACACATCCTGATTTTCAAAGACGCATTTAAAAAAATCTATACAGGAGTTAATGTATTTTTATTATGTCTGTGCTTGAGTATTTCTATCTGAGGGTCAGATGTGATAGAAAAGTAATGAGACCATGTTGAGAAAAATGAGGTAGTCAACAGGAAAATCAACCTCATTTATAATAATATTCCTGTGATCAGCAGGTGCATAACTCTCCCAGCTATGGTCATTAACTGCATTCATTTCACACTTAACATCTACATTTGCAAACCATTTGAAAGTAAAATTACCTTCCAATTCAATTTTCTATTTTATTTTATATCTTCAACTTTGATTGACTATTCTCCTCACAATGGTAACTATGGCAAGATTGCAAGTAAATGGTAGCAACTACCCAAGAGTACAGATAAACTCATCTTCTCAGATTACTTATTCACTTTGCTTCTGTGTGTATAATAATTTATAACCATTTGTTAATGTTCAATTCAAGGCTTAAAACCAACTTAGAAAAAATTATGCTGGACTGTTGAAGGGAAACTTCATTTATCAGGCTCACTTGTTCTTAAAATGAAAGCGTTTTTCTCCTTATAAATGACTTAAACTGGAAGTTTACCAAACAGGAAAGCAGGTATTTCATCGATGTTGCTAAGCAAAGAGCAACTCCCATACAATTTATTATTCATGGAAATCGCTGTATCCTGCTCAAAATCCAGACAGAATCCCCTGCTAAAGCTAAACTGTGAGAATGTTGGTACATTTGTACTTAGCAGCTGTAGTGCCATTTTCCCTGTAAAAAGTACGTGCTTCAGAAACATCAGATTAAATCATCTCTATTTTAAAGACAGAAAAACAAAGGAATACCAATGGTCAGCTGATGTTTACAGATTCCCAAGTCTACTTATTCAGGAGCAGTCTGTACTTCACATATGTTTTGTTTTATGTGCTACTTGTAAATTGGTCTCACAGGAGGTGTTATGTTATTGAACCAGCTGCCTGGCCATCTCAAACCCAGAGCACTGTGTTTTGCCCTCATAAAGGCTTATGTTGAAAATCAATCAAGTGTCTACAAAATAAAAGATCAGGAAGATTGATATGGCACGTAGACCTAGCGAATAAGTTGTAAAGAAGCAGCTTTGTTTACTGGAATTTTCCGTTGATAATGTTTTTGTGGAGACAATTAAGAAAAAAACCACACCAAAGTCCCTTTAAACAGTATCCACAAGAGGCAGTAAAATCCACATGGCAGGTGCAAAAAGAGAATAATCAAATCTGGTTGCTAGAATAAAAAGACAACTTTCTAAATACGAGCAGTTATGAAGAACTGGTGATTCCTGAGCTCTCCTTTAAAGTTAACCATATTTGCCATCAATTCTCCAACTGAAAGAATGACCTGGTATTTTCACTGAAATCCAAGAATTATTTGTGTGAAAGTTTCATTTCTTAGAACTTCACACATTTCCAAAATCATTCTGGAAGCCATCATCAATATTCATAACATTCTAGAAACTTTTATCAAGATAGCACCCTTGGTTTAGTAACGAGCTCGGATTTCTCTTATTTTCAAGTATCCAGTAAATTCTATTTTGAGACACGGTGGTATGTTCATCCGCAGCACAGCCAACTGTGCCAAATCAT